AACGAGTCGTACAAGCACATCCACACGCTTCGCATTTTCTCGCCAGGATAATCTTCCCAAGCATTCTACAATGGCTTCGAGGAGGTCCCTGCGATTCCCCTTGGCGACAAAGGAGGCGTCTGACTGGAGAGAGGCGAAGAAAGCCAGGCCATCGACATTCTCATCCTAAGTCTGCGCTGGTTGCACGACGACTGAAATGTTTCATCTTGCCGTGCGAGTGAAACAAATCTATGTTCTCACGCTGCGTAAATATGGGGCTGCGCACCGCAAGTACGAGCCTGGCCAGTTTCACGGCAGCGAGTGCCGCGTGACTCCGTGTTCCAGCCACGAGCTACACTTCGTCACTGTGTCAGTTTCATTTTCAAGCAAGTAAATGTTAGTTTTTTTTTCATTTGACTCTTGAGTTTCTGTCGGCAACATCCTCACACGCATGGCGTACGTGGAGAATCTGTTCGGGATCAACCAAACTCACCTCGATATGGACGTGGGTTGTCGATGACAGCCTTTGGCGCCGTTCGTTGAGCAGGTTATTGCTCAAAAACACCGTTCAAAAAAGTCACTAAGTTTTTGTATACGGAGGAAGTAGAAGTATGTTCATTTAGTCCTCCCCTCAGATAACCCCACCACCAACATTCAGCTTGCCCCACTTCCCACCAAGAACATGCTCAACCCATTAGCCGCTGCATTCATACTGTGCCAGATCTGTTAACAACCAAGCCTTCTCGTCCACATCTATGTAACATCCCCCCTCCCCCCTACGTCGCTTTCCTTCACTACATCCTCAGACGTTGGTCTTCGAATCGGTCAACTTAACTGGCAAAGCGTGGTGGGCAAGCTGCCTGTGGTTGAGCAACCTTTGTTTGATCACAAGTTAGTCATTCTATTTCTCAGTGAAACTTGGTTCTATCATTCATTGCTAGACGCAGTCCTGACACTAGATGGCTACACCCTCTTTAGACGAGATGGGGGGGGGGGGGGTAGCAGTCTATCTACGCTCTTCCCTGGCTCCATACCTTTCTCGCTGTTCCCACCTTGAATCTCCATGCCTAGAAGATATCTGTTTGCTTTACCATAAAATTAACAGCCCTGCTAGTCCACTCTGTTCCTTTCACCTTTTCTACAGACCCCCGCATTCCATAGCGGCCCAACGTGAAAAATGTTACCATGCTTTCCATGCCACTGTCACTCGACACCTTGATAACCCCCATCTCCCCCTCATTCTGATCGGCGACTTCAATTGCAGAATGTCCTGTTGGCTCCAGTCCTACCCAGATACAACAGAAGGCCAGAAACTGGTCACCCCACTTGATGACCTGCGTCTTCTCCAAATCGTCACCCACACACCCACTCGTTATGCGCCAACAGGTTCATTGCCTCCGTCTCGGCTTGACCTTGTCATCACCACTGTCCAGTACTCTGCAACATTCAACTGAGGCAACTCAGACGGCAAACTCGTGAGCAGATAGTGGTACCAGTTTACACACTCACCGACTTTGAGGCGAGCGGACCTCTGCTTGCAGCCTCTCCGAAAGTGCATTGATGGCGCCAGTTGTATGGAAAGCGCCTGCCACTCTTGGCGCTCCTATGGCAATGAGAGTATCCAGCGCCACATGGCCATGTGGACATTGAAGCCAAGAAGAAAGCAGACTATGAAGCCTTGGTTCACTGTCCAGCACAAGCGAATGCACCAGAACATAAAATGTATTTTCTAATGAGCCCAGTGAAAAATATTCTTACAAACAGTCTTAAAAGCAACAAGGCCCTGTATTTCGAAGGGCTTTGCTGGCATAGTGATAGCGAAAAAACTGTTACAAATGGTGGGCCGAGGCCAAGAAAAATGCCCAGATCAGCAAGAAACGAGCGACCATCCCGACCCTGGTTGATTATTGTGGAGATACGGCTTGTGATACTTCTAAAGCAGAAGCACTGGTCCGTTGCTCAAATTCCAGTTCTCCTCAAATCCGTCATTTGACCCGCGTACTACCACCCTACCGCCACCACAATTAACACAAGATCTCCAGTTTCAATTGCCAACATCATCCAGCATGATGTCTTCCGCAAGCTGCGCACTCTGCCCAAGCAAAAGACTGTGGGCGGGGATATCACCAACGTCATACTGAGAGAAGTTGCACCCGTGATCACGCAGTCCCTGTGCCACCTCTTCAACACTAGTCTCCGCCTCGGGCAGCTACATAGTGACTGAAAGTTGTCTACAGTCATACCTATCTACAATGAGCACGGCAAACTTGCGAAGCCAGCTAGCTACAGGCCTATCTCTCTGCTGCCGGCCATAGCTGAGATTCTGGATGCCATAATCGCCCAGCACCTCACCAGCTTCCTGGATAGGCAGGGATTAATTATCGATGTTATGGAAATGATGTGTTGTTTTCCTGTGTGATGGCATTCCTCAAACTGTCTCGTCTAGCCACGTGCATGTGTTATATGAGCATGCGGAATTTTGTAGTCGAGAGTCTTTTTGTCAGTCTGCTTGTTCGTCTCTGTCAGCGCAGTTTGCTTTTCCGTCTTGTCAAAATATATAATGTAACACGAACTAACACGAACCTGTGTGTCCTGCGTCCCAGGGAACGGAGTGGCTTTGATTCCGTAACGTGGACCACCAGTATGGCTTTGTCTCCTGCAAGTCGACACTCGATCAGCTGATTGTCCTGTCTTCAAGAGTGGCTAAATCACTCCACAAGCTCACTGGCTACCACGCTCTAGACTTGGATTTCGCGAAAGCGTTTGACAAGGTACCGCACCCTGTTCTTCTCCGTCAGCTCGCTACTATAATATCCCCTGAAGCCGTTTCTTGGTTCACCAACTACCTCAGAGACCGGTCTTTCTACCAAATCTTTGCCCCGCCCAGTTTCTTCAGGCGTTCTCACCTTGGCCCCATTCTTTTCATTCTCTACATTAATGCCCTTCCTCGCACCATATCGTCTGATGTCACTACTGATGTGCTCATATTTGCCGATGACACTACTCTTGGGAGAGCAGCAGGAGAACCTAACCAACAACAAATGGTCCACCCCTCCAGGCCCCAACTGATGCCGTCCTGCAGTGGGCTGATTCAGTTGGAGGGCGCTTCAACCCCTCGAAGTCTTGCACCATGCAGTTCCCTCCTAGAAGTCGTGCAGAACGTGCCCACCGTACTCATCCGACTCCGCACCTGAGAATGCAGGGAGATGACGTGTCGGATGTTTTTTTTTTTTTTTTTTTTTTTTTTTTTTTTTTTTTTTTACTATATTCACATAACCAGCTCGAAAAGAATAAGGAAAGACAATGGTACGGAGACTAGGACAAACGTGACAACTAATGAGCAGGCGCTGCACCGAGACGCAGCAGTGATGGTGGGGCATTGATGACTCTGCCGACCTGAGGTCTCGGCGTCACGGCCAAAAACACGCACCAAAAACAATGAAAAAAGAAGAAGATAGAGCTGTACAGGTAAGAAAGATGCAAAAACCCAAGGCTTAACACTTAGCGTCATACTATTCATAGGGAATCGACTGCCCAGAGCCAGTTTGTGCTGCGAAGATGGCGGTAAACATTCGTTTTGAATGATTGCATTCTCTTGCTGTGGGGAGGCTGGGATAGGAGAGCGGCAGGGAGGGAGTTCCAATCGCTGATGCTGCAGTGTGGGAACGAGCGCTTCAGTGCCAGCGGGGCAGATGCAGGCAGCTGGTGTTGGAGCTGGTGGTCATGGCCACTGACAGCACCGTGCTCGCTGCGAGTTCTGGGGTTGGTAGAGATGATGTGGCGCGGTGGCAACACAGAGAGCAGCTGCGGAGGACCAGGCAAGTAGTGCAGCTTGTACAGGCAGGCAAGCGAGGCAACAGTTCGGCGGATGGCCAGGCTGGGTAGGTGTGCCCCAGGGCCGATAGCATGAAGCGCGCGGCGCTGAACATTGTTCAGACGCTGGAGGTGGCTCTGCGCAGCTCCCATCCATACAAGAGGCGCATACTCCATGACTGGTCGTACGAACGCCTTGTATACGGTCGTCCGGCCGGCGGGGGTGAGTATGTGGGCGGCTCTGTTTAGGACCCCAAGCCGTTGGCGTGCACGGGTGGCTACGGAGCGTAGGTGATCGCTGAAGGTCAACTTGGCGTCCACCTTCACACCAAGGAGGGTGATGGTGGTTGTCTCGGGGACCAGTGTGCCACCAAACAGGAGTGGGGGGAGATCTAAGCCGGTGCGTCTGAGGGTGGCTGTCATGGCCTGGGATTTGGTCGGTTCAAACATCACTTTCCATGTATGACCCCACTCGTGCAGTCGGTCAACGGACACCTGCAGTGACTGCGCGGCGACTGTTGGGGTCTGCTGGGAGGTGACTAAGCTGTACAAGGTTGTATCATCAGCATAGGCTTCCAAACTGGCGCCGTCAGCGAGAACATCTGGCGCGTCGTTGACGTAGGACAGGAAAAGCGTTGGTCCAAGGATGCTTCCCTGGGGGACTCCAGCGGAGGTCGTATACCTAGATGACGTCCGCCCTCCAACGAGGCACTGTAGGGAACGGGTGTCCAGGTACGAGGCCAGCCATCTCTGAAGCGGACCATCTATGCCTAGGCTACGCACCTTGTGAAGGAGGCCGACATGCGAGACACGATCAAACGCTCCTGCGATGTCCACAGCTAGGATACGAGCCGCCCCTCCACAGCCCACAGCGCTTGCCCAGGCAGTTTGGAGAGCTTGCAAAGCGTCCGATGTTCCAAGGCCTCTGCGAAATCCAAACTTGTGCGACGTGAGCAGATGATGGTCTTCAAAATAGTTTACGATGTGTCTGTTTACAAGAGTTTCCATTACTTTCGAGATTATGCACAGTAAGGATACGGGCCTGTAGTTCTTAAGGGTTGAGCGGGAAGATCGCTTGTGGATCGGAACCACGTTGGCCGTCTTCCACATCCTAGGTTGCACTCCAGACCGGAAGCATAAAGCAAATAGCTTGGACAGTGGCTCTGCGAGCTCATGAGCACATTCCTTAAGGACGCGAGCAGAAATACCGTCAGGCCCGGTAGCCTTGGAGACGTCGAGCCTTGCCAGGAGTCGGCGGACAGCCTGTGGGCGGAAGCGGATGGTGCGAAGAGGTGGAGCCTCTGAGGGAGCAGGGTCCGGTAGGTCAGCCTCCACAAGGTCCGGACCGGCAACGCTACATTTCTTCGAGAAGAAGCGAGCGAATGCCTCTGCTTTCTCTGAGCTTGTTGCCCACTCACGGCCGTCAGAGTCGACAACTAGGGGAATTTCGGGCTGTGTGCGGTTGCCAGCAGCGTTCTTCAACTTCGTCCACCCCTGTTTGTCTCTGAGGGACCCAGTTGAGAGGCTGCGACGGAGGCTGTCCTCCTTTGCACGTCGTGATCGGAACTGGGTGGCGATCGCTACAGTCACGGAATCGGTGAATGCCTGCTGAAGTGCTGGGTCATAAGGGTGTTTTCTCCAGTCGCGCCAGCGCTTGTCCTTCTCCCTCTCGGTCTCTGTGCATTCAGGCGTCCACCATACCGGATCGGAAGGCCTCGTTTCCAGAACTTTGGATGGGACAAACTGTGCAACAGCTGCAGTAATTGAAGCGGTAACCTGCTCACAGGAAGTTTCTGGGTCCTCCGTGATGATATCACCCCATTCCACGTTGCGAAGGTGCGCCCTAAGGCGATCCCAGTCTGCCCTGTTGTAGCGAAATACTGTTCGCTTAACAGGGGGTTCACGTCTAGGGAGCACGGAAGAAAAGTCTGACAGTACAACTGCATGGTGAGATCGACCGAGGGGCGGAAGTATATGTGTAGTTACTGGGGACGTGAACGTTGACATTATGAGATCTAGCGGGTTGTCTCCACGAGTCGGTACTGTGACATGCTGGACAAGAAGATGGGCAGCGCAGGTATCTTCGAGAGCCTCGCCTGCAGGCGTAGATTTCGAGCTGTTCAGCCAAGCCCGGTTGTGCACGTTGAAATCGCCAGCTAGGATAATGTGGGAGCCCTGGTGTCTAGCTTCTGGGAGGATGTTGTCGAGATGATCGATTAAGGTAAGATCGCCAGGGGCACAGGACCCTGGCCGATACACTGCTCCCAAGACGGTGCGGAGACCTGGGGCCAGCTGGAGAGAAACCCAGATGATCTCATGTGCGGGGGACATGAGGTCAGGGATCAGCATGGAGGGGAGTGACGACTTCACCCAGATGGCTACCCCTCCCCCATGTGCCGTTCTGTCCAACCGAAGTGGTGAGCTGTATCCAGGGAAGCTGATGTCAGAGGGAAGCACTTTCTCCGCAGTGAACTTCGTTTCTGTCACAATTGCTACGTCGGGGTGATGCTGCAGGAGTGCGTGCTGTAGGTCGGGAAGTTTGCTGGCTAGGCCGAAAGCGTTTGTGCAGAGAATGCGAAGATTCTTGCTACCCTTCATTGCAGGAGGAAGTAATTAAAAAAAGGGGAGGGACATTTGGCGTAAGCGGGTGCATAGTTACATGTATGGCTAAGGGTCCTAAATTCTAATGAAATACCTAAAAGGATCAAGCTAAAGATAAGAATGAGGAAGCTGGAGGAAGACACGAGGTTGAAGTAGGACAGGGAAAACCAGGTTGTGTTTGTATACCTAGGGCTACACAGGGGGAGAAGATGTTATCTGCGCCAAGTTATCTGCTTGTTGCTTGACGCAGTGATCTTTTTCGCCTTCTTCTTTCTCTGGTTATCACTGGAAACTACCAATGGGGAGGTCGACTCCCGCGGCCTCTTGTGGAAGCAGTCTGCCAATATCGCCAATGCTCTAGCCTCATCGCCCCCTGAGAGTTTCCCCTCAGGTGGACAGTCCGACTCCTCGGCCCAGCTGCTGTCAGGAGACAGAGTCAGGTCAAGTTCCACGTGGTTGCTTTGTTTATCATGCTCAGGTCGCATTTTGACAGTTACGGCAGAAGCTGAGTCTTGGCTGCCATGTGTACCCGTGCCCTCCTCCAGGGGTCTCGAGTCGACCTGACCAGCTGGAGAAGCGCCCAGGCTCTCGTGTTGTGGCTGATCCTCGCGCGCTTTGTCTGCACCGATGACCTCCTGGGGTCCCGATTTGACTGCAGAGGCTAGGCTTTCAGGCAGTGGCTGATCCTCGCGCCCTTTCTGGGGTCCCGATTTGACCCTGTTAGCGTACGTTCCACGAGGGGTGCGTGGCCTGGTGGGGCAGTCCGCGGCCAGGTGACCTGGGGACTCGCATACCCTACAGGTGCGTGGTTGATCCTTATACCGTACGGCAAAGACGTGACCCCCTGCCGTTTGAACGTACGATGGAATGGAGGGGCATTGTTTCCCTAGTTTGAAGCTTAAAAAGCGTACCCCGGTTGTAACATCGAAGCCATGCTTTGTGGTGACTTGCCCGTATCGAACTGTTGAAGCGGGACTACCGTACGGTTTGAGAGCGTCCGTCAATGCAATGTCCGAGATCCAGACAGGGAGGTCAGATATATGCAGCTGGAGGATCGAATCCAGTACGTTTGAAACCAAAATTGTCTTATCCAATAGAGAAAAGCCCTCCCGAACAACACGCTCTAGACTCGCAGTGGACATGAAGGTTACAATGCACTCATGCTGTGAACTTATCTGAACAGATGTGAGGTCGTTGTATCCAGCATCTCCCAGTGCATTCGCGACATCCACCACTTTGGTCCCCAGTGGGCAATCGAATTTCCCGGACGTCTCTCGCATCTGCTCCGAGGTCAGTGCCATCCATCGGGGTCTCGAGTTACCAGTGCTCGCCATGATTGGTGGTTAGGTTATAAGGGCACGCCCTAGATATGCTTTATAAGGATCCAAAAACTACCACATTCACAAAAGGATGCAGAGCTCTCAAAACTGCATCCGCTCTTGCTTGCACAGCACCAGTGTAACGACTCATCCACAAATTGGATTCATCTTCTAATCTAACCTCGACTTCACCAGCCACGTCACCACCATCACGACAAAGTTCCCCCAGTGAGTGGTCCTGCTGATCCACATGACCAGGTGTATCACCCAAGCCATAGCCAGCCGCTTGAACACTGGATATGTTCGACCTGTGGTTGAATACACCTCACCCTCTGACAATTTCAACTCTCCTGCACCCTCCTCTAACGGAGCTGAGAGCCTCACCTTTCACGCAACTCCAGTGGCCTCGCCTCGCATGGCGAAGACACATTCAGTGACTTCTTGGGCTCCACCACCTTATCAATAGCCAGATGACGACCATGGAGGACCTAGGCTACACAGTATCAAACAGCGCCAGGCGCCCCCAACATCTACTCCCGCCTGCTAGAGCCAGCAAGCACACACGTGCCACCTTTCTCTTTGTCTTTTGTCTTCACTGCCACGCGGAACTCCCTCCGGCTGCCATTTGTACTGTATCCAGCCCAACATGTTTTACTACTCTTGTCGGCACACACGTTGCTATCACCCGTTATGAGCCCTCGGGTTTCATCCCACGGACAGTAGCGATGTCATTGAACACTGTGTTATGCTACTAAGGCCTGTGGAGAATAAATAAAATTACAAATACAAATACAAAGCAAAACAGGTAAATCAAGAACACTCTAAATTCTACACTTTGAAGCAGATAAGCACTCCCGCTCTGTCTCTTCTTCTCGAATTGCTCCTTATGTTTACAGGAATGACCTGCACTGCTCCAGGAATTGCCAATGGTACGGTTGACATGTCAGAAATACAATACCCTCGAAGTGTCACCTACTCTTGTGATACGGGATACAATTTAGTTGGAAATAAAACATTTGATTGTACAACTCTATTCGAAAAGAAACCTTTGCCGATTTGCAATGGTAAGTGAAAAACAGAACTGTATTGAAATTCTTGTTTCTTGGTTTTGACACATAACTTGTAATTCGAGTTTTACTTTTCAAACCAAATGCTTTGAAATTATAACTTCCTCCATTTTCATCTCCTTTCTAATGCAGTCTTGGCGGTAAATTTTAGAAAGGCGCTATAACGTTAAAAAAATTGCTTTGTGTAAAACTGACAAATCGGCATCTTTGTGACTTCGGCAGTGTCTGTGCTGAAGTTAGTTGTTCCAACGAGGAAGAAACGCTTCTTACCAAATTTGACACTTGACTGACTCGCGACTGCTATCCGCAGCACTGGAGAAGCAAGTCGCACCTTCCACTCCGCTAGCCTGGAAGAAAGCAGCACTCCCTGCTCAATACACGGTGTTTCGTTCAATTCACCCATCATCAGTTGAGCTTGAGTAGGCTAAGGAAGTTTGTGCCTGAAAAGTAACACTTATTATAGTGCTCTCCAGGCCGAATCATCACCAGGAATACAACATCGGTCTGCCACCATGGTCGCGCACGAGCCCGATCTTTGAACAGCTCCGCCTCACCCCCTGGAGGACATTAAGCTCCTCATCTTTGTCTGTCGTTGCCTGTTCTCCCGAGCTAGCTCCCTCTTCACCAGCTTCTTCGTGAGAGTTACTGGTGACCGCACTCGGGAAGCAGCACATCACCTCGTTCGAGTACCATTTTTGGCCCGGTCCTGCGGGTCGAGCGACCATGCAGTTCATCGGCACAGTCCTGTGGAACCAGCTCCCGCCTGATCTCCGTTCCGAGCCCAGCCACCTTCAGTTCTGTGCCCTGCTAAAAGCGCATCATGGCTCCGTTTAAATGCTTTTCGGCTACTCTGTTTTTGTGGTATAGCGGACTGAAGAATAGTAAACGTATTTTGCAATATATGTATGAAGCTATTTTGTATATAGTATGTTCACATTCCGTTTTTGCTTTTGTGTAGCCCTGAGGTTGATTGCTTATTTATTTCTACCCTTCCTCTCTCCATACTTCTGTCCCCCCCCCCTCTCTCTCATTCCTTCTGTCGTCCACATGTATCAAAGGAGGCGAAATCGGCTGTTTGTGGTACGACGTTAAATAAACTTCTACAACAACAACAACCTCACAGCGACGCTTTGTTTCCAGCGCGATAAGCACCCCGCGAAGTGTCAGACACAGAACTTGAGAATTGTGTTCAGTTTTACTCATAAAAGAAAATGCACCGCAATTCAACTTCCTCGAACTTCGACTCTTTTTGCATGCAATAAAACATGTGAAAACGTATGTTAACCTGTAAGCAAAACAGGTAAATGAACAACACTTACATGTTCTCAAAATTCTACATTTTGAAGTAGATAAGCACCCTTGCTCTGTCTATTTTTCTCGAATTGCACATTATGATTACAGGAATGACCTGCACTGCTCCAGAAATTGCCAATGGTACGGTTGACATGTCAGAAATACAATACCCTCAAAGTGTCACCTACTCTTGTAATACGGGATACAATTTAGTTGGAAATAAAACATTTGATTGCACAACTCTATTCGAAAAGAAACCTTTGCCGATTTGCAATGGTAAGTGAAAAACATAACTGAATTGAAATTCTTGTTTCTAGGTGTTGACACATAACTTGTATTTCGAGTTTTACTTTTCAAACCAAATACCTTGAAATTATAACTTCCTCCATTTTATGGGTGCAATAAAGCCTATAAGAGATGCAGACATGGCCAGGCAACAGCGAGTTAATGGAAGTTTAAAGGATTTTATGTCATTCAAAATCGATTTCGTGTTCCGCTCGTCAGTGAATAGTATCGGAACTGAGGATACTGTGTACAAAAACAACATTTTATAATAGGTATAAAGAGAACAAATTCTGCTGTCATCTCCACAGTACAACAAAGTCATGGAATCGATTTTGGTAAACCTCCATGACTTTGTTGAACTGTGGCGATGACAGCAGAATTTGTTCTCTTTATAGCTATTATAAAATTGTTGTCTCCGCGTCGATTATAAACATTTGATAACAGCATAATTAAAAGGGTGAACAAAAAAGGGAAGTGCTACAGCATTACATCATAGATAACATCATGTTCTTTCGCACACAGTACCCTCAGTTGCGATACTATTCACTGATGAGCGGAACACGAAATCTATTTTGAAAAACATAAAAATCCTTTAAAATTCCATTAACTCGTTGTTGTCTGGCCATGTCTGCATCTCTTATACTCTTTACTGCACTCATAAAATTGCTTTCTCAACGCCGACTCTTTAAATTCCTCCATTTCATCTCCTTTTTTAAACACTTGACTTACTTGCGACTGCCACCCACAGCACAAGAGGAGCACGTCGCACCTTCCACTCGGCAAACCTGCAAGAAAGCCCCACTCCATGCTCAAAACATAGTGTTCCGGGGAATTCACCCATCATCAGTTGAGCTTGAGTAGGCTAAGGAAGATTGTGCCTGAAAAGCAACACTTATTATAGTGCTCTCCAGACAAAATCATCACCAGGAATACAAATGACAGAGATACTTTGTTTCCAGCACAAAAAAATAAAACGCGAAGCGTCATACACAGAACTTGAGAATTTTGTTTAACTTTACTCATCAAAGAAAAT